TATGTATAGGTTAGTTTACCTGTTCATATTTAGTATCATGGGTTTTCTCGTGCACATTGAGTTTGTCCCTCGTTTCATTGGACTGTCGCCATAATTCTGCATTATTGTCTCTTTGAAGGGTTTGGATTTGATTTTTGGCGTCATTCAACTCATTTTGCAAATCTGCTATCTTTTTATTCTGAAATTGTTCAGCAAAAATTTGGCACATGTGAGTTTATTAGTAATCTTTCACGTGGAGGTTATGTAGGCCTGATAATTAGTTTAATTACTCGGGGTTCCTGTGTTACTCGGGGCTCCTGTGGAACGCCGAGTATTAATTTCGGCTTTATTTTTTTTTTTTTTTGCATTCATCGCCAAATCGCGGCTAGACTAGCCAGGCGTTCCTAGCCTGTCTTGTCTCGTCCCATGCTTCAAGTGCTAATTGCATCAGCTTCTTCGTCGATGGGCTTATGGTATTTCTTCTTCTCAAAAAAATACGCTCAAAYYACTYACAAATCCACACGCGGTATAGCCACACTAAAGGATGTCGACCGTTTTCGGAATGGGCTTTTTGAAAAATACCGCGAATAAATCAAGCTTATTGTGACTTAAGTTATGATACGCAAGCCATTTTCAGGGACCGCGGAGCGGGATCTTGTTTGGGGGGGCTAGCGGCGAGGAGGTACTAGGGGGGTCGGAAATTTCTGAAATCTTAACTCTCGGAAATGCCATTTCCAGCGTTTTGAGGCGTTATCCAAGACATATTTACCGCAGACACGGTCAGCAATATTATCAATAAAATCCCAAAGAATTCATAAGGACTGGGCTCTTCGCTTCTTTATTTAAGAAAATTCAAAATGTCGGAAATATTATTGGGGAGGGCTATAGCCCCCCAGCCCCCCCTGCTCCGCGGTCCCTGATTTTATGATTTTAATCTATCCAAAGCCGACCAAAGCCAGTCATAAACTACAGGCCTTCTATCTTAAAAGCTACTGATATTAAAAGCTCTAACTACTATAAAAGAACAATAGACTCAAGTGCCGATTGTCAACAAAACTGTACAGGTGAAATAACGAAGGATTGCAAACAAAGGATCAGTGAATGGTATTGGCGTTAGACCAAATCCGGGACCAAATGTCTGTCAAAGTAAGGACAATTCTTGGCCAACAATAATAATATTAATACATTTTCTTTTTTTACTATTTTCAATCCAAGGAAGGATTTTTAGTTTTACTTTATATTTGATAATTAAAGTTTTTATTATTCTTTGCAATAATTGCAGTAAATTTATCAAGTCAAAATTATATAAGTCTTAATTATTATGCTATCAACTGGACTGAGAATTTATTATATTTTTTGGTCACGGCAAGAATAAATGAAACTACATATTCTATATTGTATCGTTAAACCAAGAGACTACACTAAAAAGAACCCCGAGTACACGCTGACAAGCGTCTTGTTCAATAATGAAATCTAATCGTGTAGGAACCAAAAAGGACGACGACCTACAAAAACACCGGTGATTCAAAGAGGTACTGGTGAAAAATGCCTCCGAAATGAAAGAGCAGTTGTAAAGTTGATATATAATTATAATCATTATAAAGATTATGCAAATAAATTCATATGCTAATTCCATGCTAATGTCGTTTTTATGTAGGATTTGAAATATTCTTGATTTATTTGGGTATTTTCACCATCACTAATAGCCTATCCCCCTCTTTGCTTTAGTGTATTTGGACGATTAACTTCGTAACTCACCAGTTTTGTCTCCACCTCTGACAAATTCTTCTTTAAAGAGTTTAATGCCTCAGTAATTTTATCCAAATTGACATTACTTTGAGTTTCTTGAAGCTTAGACGTAGATGGACTCCCTGGCAATATACCATATGGATATAAGTATAGAATAAGTCAATAGAATATTCAAGCATAATCTGGCACATCAAAGCTTTATGTTCATAATGTCTATAACCCTATACGTTAGCGCCAGGATTTCTTTAATTGACTGTGAGGCTGGATGATTTCTATTCTATAGTTAATACGGACAGGTTGCTATAGTTAGATAACCTTAAATGAAAAACTGTGCATAGAACTATGTATAGAACTATGTTAATTATGAATATACTAGTTCTATTAAACACTGTCTAAACACAGATCGCAATGATTGGTGGGTTCGAAAGCATAAAACTTATACGATGTCTATTATAAAATAATGTAGCACTTTATAAATTCAGTTTTATCTATAGGCAACTAGAATTTCTTTAAAGCATTTTTCATATACGACACCACCCAAACTGATAGTTATGAATAACCCATGTTGCATTTCGGTCTCACCTCGTAAATGAGTTATAAAAATAGAATATTTCACCCTGGGGGCACTTCATTATATAATGACTACACAAGACTTCCCACTGACTGCATCACCGTAATGATAAAGTTCTAGCACAATCTTCYATGTCAAGGAATTAGAAAAGGGTAGATAATATCTACTAATTAAGATGCCGGCAGCTTCACAATCTTGCTATTTTGAAACCAYAGTAATTTGCAAAAATTCTGACCGTCAACATATATATCACTATATCGGGTGTATTGTGGGTAATGACATGTGATTCTCGCTCATTTCTCGCTAAAACAGATCGCAAATCATTCATATACTTATTATTTATTATGTTTTATCAAAGGATATTCAAGCATCATCTGCATTTTCTTGTTTATATTTGTAATATCTATCACCCTATATATTGATATATTTCTATTATAGGTAAGCGGCCGGTATTTGACTGTATATGTATTGTCAAAAGAGGCTGGGTGATCTCTATAGTTAAATACGGACAGGTTGAAATAGTTAGATAACTTTCAACTTTTTGACTGTAGCTGAAATTACCTGAAAAACTGTGTATGATCAAAAGTGAAAACTATAACCTATCTTTCTTATTAATACGTTATCAAAGAATATATTAAGAAGTATTTACCTGTGTTTTCACATGAGCAAGCTGGTCCTAACTTTCCTAGGATAATCATGACAACTAAGACAAGGGCTGCTATAGAAATCAATAGAATCACAAACAGCAAAACACAACCAAGCTTTGATTCTTTGTACGGCTGAACAGGTTCTTCTTGATACTTTGTAGAATGACCGGTGTATGGGTCTGCACTATCGTAGATGGGATTCGCTACTCGTCGACGTGAATTCCCATTCTGTAGTCCTGGTAGTTCGGCATAAGTATGTGATGATGGATCGGTTTTATGTTCTGGGAACGAGTTTTCATAAGCCCGGTTGTCATGTCCTCGACTATATGCTGTAGACACTGAATCGGGTGGGCTGTCCACAGCGTACGGGCTGAACGTTGGGTTCCTATTTACGATACTTACTTGGGTAGACATTATCCAAACATTTGTCACCGAGAGACGAGAGTTAAACCGTTATTTCGCGTGAGTTTTGCTTTAGTTTCAGAACGATATGCTTATGTGTGCAAATTCTATGGACGTCACAATTCATTAAGCAACTATCCACTGAACCAGAACTCAAAAACAAAATACCAATTTTTAATTCTTTCTATACCTGTTGCCAAATTTTTTCTATTTTTTNGAGCAAGCTGGTCCTAACTTTCCTAGGATAATCATGACAACTAAGACAAGGGCTGCTATAGAAATCAATAGAATCACAAACAGCAAAACACAACCAAGCTTTGATTCTTTGTACGGCTGAACAGGTTCTTCTTGATACTTTGTAGAATGACCGGTGTATGRGTCTGCACTATCGTAGATGGGATTCGCTACTCGTCGACGTGAATTCCCATTCTGTAGTCCTGGTAGTTCGGCATAAGTATGTGATGATGGATCGGTTTTATGTTCTGGGAACGAGTTTTCATAAGCCCGGTTGTCATGTCCTCGACTATATGCTGTAGACACTGAATCGGGTGGGCTGTCCACAGCGTACGGGCTGAACGTTGGGTTCCTATTTACGATACTTACTTGGGTAGACATTATCCAAACATTTGTCACCGAGAGACGAGAGTTAAACCGTTATTTCGCGTGAGTTTTGCTTTAGTTTCAGAACGATATGCTTATGTGTGCAAATTCTATGGACGTCACAATTCATTAAGCAACTATCCACTGAACCAGAACTCAAAAACAAAATACCAATTTTTAATTCTTTCTATACCTGTTGCCAAATTTTTTCTATTTTTTTACAACAAATGGTAAAACAAAATTTGACGGTTTCGCAGTTTATTCAAGAGCATTGTATTGTTGGAGAAGAAAAATTAGACATTTGATGGAATATTCTAAARCAAACCACCCACGCTACTATTGAAAGTCACGAGCAAGGTTCGCATAAAAAGTTTCCGCAATTATAGAAAGTGAAAAACAAAATACCGCTAATTTGGGCTTTTATACTAAGTACCTAGCAATGCTTCCTTTCGAATAGTTAAAATACCCCATCCTCGTAACGTTAATATAACATGACGTATGAGCAGGRGTGATGACGTAAGGTACAATACAGTGCAATTCCTTTATTTGTACGTACAACCATGTATAGACTGACATTTGGTGTTTATTTTTGAATATAAGAATAAGAAAGCTATATATTATACAGTAAGATTACTGTATTACCAATTTTATCAGTGTTTTGAGATTTTAAACAGTTAAACCTAACATATACAACATGCCTCATCAAGTCCAGACTTTTTGTGCTCTCTTGTGCTTCAGGGTAAAACACGAGTTCGGATAAGTGTGAATAAGTTTTAAAAGCAAGGCATAGCCGAGTTGTTTAACTAGCTTCAAACTAGCCTCSTTTTATCTTTTTWACAGTCAATCATGTGTTTGTTGCWTTAGTTTATCATTAGTTAAGTAACACTGGACATTCTGTATAAGTGATGGTGCAATACATAAAGACTGGAGGAGGGGTGAAGCTTCCTTTGCCRGTGCATATACACAAGAACTTTTTCTTCTTATTGCTCTTAAGCTGTATTTGTTGTTCAACTGAGTCTGCGATATTTGATGAGCAGGAAAAATGGAGAATCTTTTTGCCCTGTGAGATGAAGTTGTAAATATATTATTAATATATTATTTTCATATAAAGTTAATCATAGTTATTAGTCTATTAACTATGMGTTGATTTAGTATTTGAAAACATCATCAAATGGT